GCGCATCACTGTCTGGTGTGGCAGCACTACTGCTATGGACCGCAAGTGCCTACAGAGAGTGGTAAAGACTGTGGAGAAGATCACCAGGACTCCACTGCCCTCTCTGCAGAGCATTTACCACCGCAGGGTGCGCAGGAAAGCTGCCTCCATCCTCAAAGATCCCACCCACCCCCAGCATGGACTGTTCACTTCTTTGCCCTCTGGCCGGAGGTTCAGAAGTGTGAAATGTAGGACCACTAGACTGAAAAACTCTTTCTTTCCCTCTGCCATCAGACTCCTAAACAGCTGAGGAGTTTATGTACTGTTTACATTCTCAGTTTGCACATGTATAATTGCACAATGACTGTTGACTGCTGCACATGCTGCTCCCATGCAGCATACATTCTCTATTATATTCTTTTATTGTACTGCTGTATTTGTCGCTGCCTAAGGTGTCCCAGATTTTGTGTTACATGCATAATTGCACAACAACTCTGCTGCACATGCTGCTCCCATGCAGCATACATTCTGTTATATTCTTGTATATTTTTTCTTACTATATTGCTGCATCTACGCTGCTTATTGTGCCTTAGATTTTGTGCCTCAAATTTTCTGTTACTTATTTATCTACTTTATATTTCATTTGTATTTTGTGGCATTCATGTGGACGGCAAAGTAGACTGATGTCAAAGAACCTTTGAATACGTCTGAGTGCTTTACATGGGAGTATGTGACTTTCTAGCGCTGTCCTGAGGTTTCTACTGCATCATGCAGTGGATGAGAAGTAACACCTGTCATGTGCAGCCCTTTGTCTGCACCGCGTCGGTGGTTTGAGGCGAGGGAGCTGTGTTGTTGGACATTTAGTTGTGATGTTAGGATGACATTCAGCCTCCGCACGTGACACTCTGCCACAGAATCCTGCACTGCTCTGATTAAGAAAGCAATGTCCACCTGTCCTATTGAGCCACTTCATCATCCTGCTGACATGGATGTGGATGAAGAATTTATACAGCACTGATGCTCCGACCTCCAAGTCTGTTTTATCTGTTATTAAGATTTCTTATATTGTAATTATACTAATTTGACTTAACTCTACTCGGTACATACGACCTCTTTGCATGCCATCTGTCTTGGAGGCCTTCTCTTTCTCTTCCAGAGGTGTCACGCTTTTTCCCCCTTTGTGTGAGCTTATCTGATTCAGGGGTCTAGGCTGTGTTATTTGGGGTTATAGAACTAAAATTGACTTGACCTCATCACTCCACACACCAACAACACATTACAAGCTTTATCTGATCCTAATGTGAGGCTGTAGTAGACTCAGTGAGTGGCTGTTAGTGTAAAACATTGTGTTACTATGCCTCCACCTCCAGTTTCTCATTAGATTTGGTCAAACGTAGGAATGTGTTTTTACACAGAAACAGGACGGTGGATTTTCTCCCCATCATTAACATTCAGAGTGCATTAGGAAGGAGCATCCCAGTGTCCAGTGTGAACAGGAGTGGATGTTACAGTGTAAGGAGCGGGTCATGTGACTGTAGCACATGAACCCGTTCACAGGCTTCACTTCAACTGTTAAATATATAAAAGCACATTTATTACATTCTGCACAGGTGAACTGTAAAATGCTATTTCAAAAACATGAAAATAACTGGAAGAGTTACTAGTGAATGTTGAGAGAGGCTTGTGTTTTGTGTATGATGTCACCGTTTTACACCCATCATGTATAGCACGCATAACTATATTTTCCTTAATGTGTAATCACCAGAAAATGAGAATCACTGCATTTTTTTAGCTCAGAATGAGCCTTTTATTTCTACATAAGAGCAAGTCCCCTATCACGGAGGCCACTATGCTGAGCCACCATGTTTTTTTACAGTAGCTCAGAATGGACAAACCACACATTGGCTCTAGAGCGTGAATTTATGTTTTCACATTGAAGTAGCAGCTCAGATTTGGAGACACTTTGAAGACAACAAAGAAGTAATGTTAGAAACAAGCGGAACCACTGTTGTGAGTTTAAGAACTGTAACTTGATGAAATGGAGGATCATAGTTCAACTTTAACACAAGACAAAGGAAGACGGCATGAATCCCTGTCAAAGAAGCAAAGACATGAAGAAGCGGGACAGGCAACAGTATAAGATGAGGATAAACACTGGTGTGGCCTTTCCCAGTTGGAAATCCTTAATAAGGGACAAATGTCTCCACAGTGATGCCAAAGTCACCTGTTTTCTGCTGGACAGGTAATTTAGCCTAACAAGTAAAATTAACATGGCTGGTAACCCACTGCCGTCGAGTGAGCCGCCGTTAGCCTTAGCTTGGTCTAGTCAGCCGCACTTCTTTCCGAGTTAATAGTTTGTCCTACATTTACAGTAATCACTGTGACATGACTATGAGGGCTGTTTAACATGATGTATAAGAGTGTTGTTGAATGTTGCAATCTGCAACCTCACCACTAGATGTCAGTGAACCTTACACACTGCACCTTTAAGATCACGATTATGATTATTGTGTTTTATTTATGACTTAATGTTTCTCTGCATGTGCAAAACTGGTTATAGTCAGTTGTGTTCAGGTGTTGTGTTGCTGTATTATTGTGCTTTGCTGTTTCCTTTTGCTCTGCATGGCCTGTGCACTGCCTAAAATATTTATTTTTCTGTATGGGTGTCTTCTGTAATTTTTGATCTTCACTTCATTGGTTTCCGAATATCTTTCACAGAAGGCTAATTGAAATCTGCAGCACACTGGTACAAGTACAGAACTGTTGATAAGGGTACTATCTTTGAAAAAAAAAGGCTTGTGATGGCTGGATTTAAAAGAAAAAGGTACTGCACTGCCGCTGCTAACACAGAAATTAAATACTGTTTGATCACAACACTTGCTGAGTATGGCTGCATAAAGAACAAGCTTATAATTATTCTCTTTCTTTTAATGAACCTGTTTTCTGTGACAATCTTAAAACCTTTTTTTAAAGAGAAGTGTTACCACCACCTGCTAGTGTTTGATCAGCAGTCACACGCCGACTGTGCTCGCTGAAGGGCGTTTCCTCGCCCCCGCCACACAGCCTCTAATTTTGGTCAAAGCAGATGCTGACTGCTCCTTCTATTCAGATGTTTCTCCTTCAAATTAAACACAGACCAAACCCCTTAGTTTTCCCAGCTGATCTGCCCCAGGTCAGCCCCACAGAGGCCAGTGTTGTTGAAGGTCTGTGTTTTCTACCGTATTTGGACAAACCTCGGCCTTTTTGCTGCTTAATTGAACTTGACTTGTTTCAAGTGCAGGGTGAAATGATTCAGATGTGACTTAAACACTGCACACATACAGCACAACCTGACTCGTTCTGCACCAGAGAGAATTTCATCCACTGAAGGACAGTTTACTGCAAAAACACTGAACACGTACAGCAACACACACACACTCCGCCGAGCTGTGAACACTGCAGTGTGGAGGCTCCAGCCATCTACTGTGCAGCTGAAGGTGTAAAGGGAACATTCAGACTCAGAAACAAAGCTGGCAAAGACACACGTTTGTTCCCAAACACCATTTTCATTCAGACTGTGTTGCCAGGAAACAGCCTGGATCCACATGGACTGTTTCACTGTCAGCAGGGTTCAGTGTGAGGTCTGTTTTTTTATGAGCACCACCTTTATTAATTTTGACTGCTGATTTACCCTGATGGGACTCTGAGGGCCTAACATCCAATCAGATGGTAGCATGTCTGTCATGCTTTTGAGCAACATTGCTGGTTGCCTTCCGGCATCGCTGATGAACAGTCATGTCGGCATCTGTTGACACCCTCTCTACCTTTAAGATTAGACTTCAGACGTTCCTTTTTGATAAAGCTTATAGTTGGGGCTGGATCAGGTGACCCTGAGCCTTCCCTTAGTTATGCTGCTATAGGCCTAAGCTGCTGCGGGGCCCCATGATGCTCTGCTCTGCTCTCCTCTCCTCTCCTCTCCTCTCTCTCCCTATGCTTCTATATGCCACCATTATACATCACTAACTTTGTGTCTCCTCTCTCCCGTAGTGTGTCCTCTCTCTCTCTCTCTGTACCTTTCTACAGGTTGCCCTGGCCCTGGAGCTCTACGTCTCTGATGAGCAGTCACCAGCCACATCGACCTGATCAGTGTTTGATTGATTGTTGTGTCTTGTTGCTTTTCTTCTTTTGTCTCTCCTCTATCCACTCACCCCAACCGGTCGAGGCAGAAGGCCGCCCACCAAGAGCCGGGGTCTGTTGGAGGTTTCTTCCGTTAAAGGGAGTTTTTCCTCCCCACTGTCGCCAAGTGTTTGCTCAAGGGGGATTTGTTGGGTTTTCCCTATGTAATAATATTGATAACAGTAAGGTCTAGACCTTACTTTGTAAAGTGTCCTGAGATGACTTTTGTTGTGATTTGGCGCTATACAAATAAAATTTGATTTGATTTGATTTGTTGGTCTGGCATCACAAGGTGGAGATCTTGTCAGTCCTCCTGGAAGATCAGGGAGCTCCTCCTGCTCACAGTTGGACTGGAATTAATTTAATTTTTGGTTTGTCATCGTCTTCAACATGTTTCATCATTTTGAATTTTAGCCCTGCTGGTGGCTTCGCTCTGGGGTTGGCAGTGTTGCTCCAGACTGTTGCTTGGAAATCTATGAATCTTTGTTTTTTAGGGAAGGAATGGGCTTTTTGTAGTTTCAGGAGTTTCACTCTTTTTCTGACCTTAACCAAGTGCCCAAACAGGGCAGACATTGTACTGCAAGATCAGGTATTCTGGCAGGAGACCAACTGTTAGCCTGACTAACATGAACAACTTAATCCATTACATGAATTAATAAAACAGATGCAAATGAGTTGTATAGAAATGGGCTGGACATTCCCATCAGCCTCAGCTCTGCTTTGCATGCTGACTTGCTAAACTAAGATGGCGAACTGGGTAAACATTTCCAGACATTTCCAGGCATGTTAGCATGCTGATCTTAGCATCCTGTCAACAGTAATCTGACAGAACACCGGGTCATCTGTTGTGTGTGTCTGTGTTGCAGTGGTTTGGCGACCTGGTCACTCCGGTGTGGTGGGAGGACGTCTGGCTGAAAGAAGGCTTCGCTCATTTCTTTGAGTATGTGGGCACCGATTTCCTCTTCCCAAAGTGGAACATGGTGAGTGACAGACAACTTTAATTCGTTTCACATCAGGGATTTCGATGTTTGTCTCACTTTTCACTCCTTTCAGCTAATTACTTCACGTGAGAGACATCAGTCTAATGGTAAATATTTAAACTCTTCAGGCGCTGATTTTGTTAGTTTGTTATTTAAAATATTCAGTCTTTTGTATATTGTTAACAATTGAATAAAACAGGAGAAAGACACCAGCGCTCACTTCTTTTAAGCCTTTGGGAACAGTACATAAAACTAAATAATCCATATACTGTCTTTTCAGAGCTTTTAACCACAGGTGTAATAGCTAAACACTTAAAATAGCTGCAGACTTCCCTCTCTTATGTGATAACAGGAGTCTGATCTTAGAGCATGTTGAGGAGGATTCAGATTTCCTGAAGCTCTGCTCACTCATCATATTTTATTTTTCTGCCTTGTGGTTTCACATGAGTCAGAATCTCAAGGCTCCAGTCAGTCACAAATTAGATTTTTTTTCTCAGAATGAATATTTAGAAAATCTCCATACAAAAACATAATGCAGAGAGAAAACAGAAAAGTAAGTTCAGGTTTTAAATCAAGACCAGCTCAGCTCTGAGGTCCGGGACGTCTCTGTGACAGTGCTTAGTGGTGTCGGTTGTTCTTTGGCAAAAAACATGTGCCAGCAGAAACTGTTGACAGGAGGTGTGCTGGATGTCATCGTCATGGTTACAGTGACTCACATACAGTAATGCTTTGGCGTGCGACGCAGTTAGCATGTTTGTGTTTCCTAATTTCTGTGCAATTACTGTTTTCACAACATGCACATCATGTTTACTGAAATCTGAGGTCAAATCATCTTTGCTAGTTAACGGGCACTTTGACCGTGTTGTGATGCACACCTGTCTAGGTGTGTGCACGGTGCTCATGCACTGTGCTTATTATACCCTGGAACGCACTGCACAGGACGTACAAAACGTAAAAAGTAAAAAGATGACACTGAGTTCACTGAGTGTTGTGCACATCAATATATTTGTATTTATAATAAAAACCATTTTTATTAGTGACTGTGCGCCTTCACCTCACACACGAGCAGATCCGTTTCCTCAGTGTAAAATCTCTCCGACGTCCTTCCTGGCAAGTTGGCCAGTATGCTAGCAATCCGCGTTCAAACTCACACGTCTCTTAAACGGGATGTGAGGTTACACACCGATTGGATAACTGCATGTTCTGCCCAAAACACACCCCTGCTTTAATGAGGAGATCAAGTACAGCCCTACTGCACAGTCACTTAAACCATTTTCTTCATTGTCAAATTACCGAAATGAACATGGACACACCCAAACACCACATGCACCAGTGCATCTTGATCAGATGCTGTGGACCCTCAAAACCTTAAGATTCCGAATCAAATCCCTGATGTTTCCCAGCCAATCTGTTTTCAGTTAATGAGTTGCATTCAGAGTGTCAATAATTATATTAATATAAAAGGGTTTATAGTTTGTATCGAGTTTTGTGAACCCACAGATAAGTATGGAAGCTAAATCCAAACACAGATATTGTAACTTCTAGGGCAAACTGGAGCAGGGAGAGGAATAAAAAATTAAAGGAACAGCCTGAATGACTGAGCGGTCTCCTCCAGGGTGACAGAGCACCCCCCACCAGGTCTCAGCCCAGCTTAACAGCTATCGGAGATGTTGGAGCGACATGTTAGACAGCGTCTCTACCACCCTCATCAAAACACCACATGAGGGAACATCTGGTGGAGGAACGGTGTTCATCCCTCCTGGAGAGTTGAGAGACCTGGAGAGTCGAGGTGGAGCTGTTCTGGTGGCATGTGGTGGCCCAGCTCCTCACTGGGACTCTGTGGGTTTCCCCTCTGAACCATGTTTCTCTTGCCTTTTTGCAGCCCTTTACCAGCACCATGTCATTTTGATTCAGAAGTTTCAAAACCTAATATTCTGCCTGCTGCTGTTTCTACATTAAAACTTTACATAATATTTAATACATTTGTAAACAGTGTGTGTACACAAGAAGCAAGTCCTGACAGGGAGGATGCTTCCACCTTCACATAGATCGATATCTGATTCAGCAGATAATATTCAGTCTCTTTTTTATTTTGTTCTTCTTATGCTGGTAAACAAATGGATGCAGCTCAAAACACAATAAAATTAGAAATGAATTCTTGCTCAGATTTGTTCAAAACTCATGCACTGAGACTCTCTGAGAAACAGTGAACGCAGCAGAACTTTAAATTACTCCTTCCTGTTTTGTTTCTGCTGAAGTACATGTGATTTTCTTCCAAACTGAGAGGGTGTTACATGAAAACACCTTATCTTCTGCACACACACGCAGCCTGTGTCTGAGCGACATGGCATTTTTAAATCCCTGTTACTGTGGTTCTGCACGGCTGGACGCTTTAATAGAAACAAAATGTTTCTCCCATAACAAGCACAACGATGATAAAGTGGTCTGTTCCTGATAAAGCAATTTATAATACAGGTTTTTATTTAAAAAAGCAGCTTCTGTCAGCAGTGAGTCACAGCGCTGCAAGGGAAGAGCAAAACACAGCAGAGAAAATCAAACTAATAAAAGTATGATGAGGACGGGAAGGCCAGGTGACTGGTAGCCAGTCAGGTGTTATTATTCTTTAACTGTCCCAGGATGGGATTTAGGTGCTTCAGAGCAAATGTGATCAAGCCCGTTTTGAAAGGTCACAATGACTGAATGTTATAGCTTCAGGAGTTTGAGCGCTGATCACAGCAGACCGGTCCAGACATGAAGACGCAGCTGTATCCGCACATATCACAGGCACAGTCCAAAGTACAAATGTGAAGTAGCTTTTGCTGAACCAGCAGTTTGCTTGTAATCTGCAGTTGACTGTGATTGTAGACCAGCACGATCACAGTCTCCCCCTCAGTCAGAAGTGCTTAAAAGTTAATGTGAGCTCTCTGCGGGTTGGTTGGTAAGAGTGTAATAAAATCCTGCCTCGCTTATATTTTCAATAAAAGGTCACATTTACGGTCGGTTTATTTTTCTTAATCCTTTAAAACAAGGACAAATGATCAAATCTGGACTTTTTCTTTCAAACAGACATGGTCAAACATTTTCATTAGCTGTATTTTAATCTTAAAATTCCGGTACAGTTTTTCCTAAAGTTGAAGTCAACCGGCCTGCGTCACTGTGGTGGCGATTCAATTCTAAACCTTAACAGACTGCAAGTTTGTATGTAAAGGATTTTACTTTCTCAGCACCTTTGACCAGAAACATGTGACAAACTAAAGCAGCCTGGTGGCTGATGTTCTCACCACCATCTTCAACCTCTCCCTTAGCCAGAGCATCATCCCCACCTGCTTTAAGACCACAACCATTGCCCCCCTTCCCAAGAAGAGCCCGGTCACCTGCCTGAACGACTACAGGCCAGTGGCACTCACCCCAATTATTATGAAGTGTTTTGAGAGAGTGGTGCTGGCCCACATTCAGAGCAGTATACCGGAAACCCTGGACCCCCTGCAGTATGCCTACCGGCCCAACAGGGCCACCTCAGACATGATCGCAGCTGCCCTCCATTACTCCCTTTCTCATCTGGAAAATGGAGACTCCTACATCAGGATACTCTTCATTGACTACAGCTCTGCCTTCAACACAGTTGGCCCCCACAAACTCACCCACAAACTGTCCACAGTAGGTCTGCACCCCACCCTCTGTGACTCGCTCCTGGACCTTCTGACTGGCAGGCCCCAGACTGTCAGGATTGGCAATAGGATTTCAGCCAGCATTGTTACAAACACTGGCACCCCACAGGGATGTGTCCTCAGTCCCATCCTCTACACCCTGTTCACCCACGACTGTGT